GTGAACAGGATGTGTCTCCCCGCTATTCCCATCACATTTTTCCTAACAATTCTCAGCAATGCTCTCAAGAACTGTATGGAGTAACTGGAGACAAACCCTATTACAATGCAGCACCACACACAGTGCTGCTCATGGCAAACTGGGACCATTAATTACCACAGGGCTGATCTCACTGGTGCTTAGTCCCTACAAACACCAAAGGACTTTCAGAATCTAAACCACTTTTGTGGGCATGAATCCCACCACAGGTGTTTGTCTGACTCTCGGTGACAGAGTCTGAGCTTGCACAGAAAGGCTTCACCCTGGCTTCCACAGCCCTGCAGCACAGTCCTGCTTCCCTGGTGAACTGAGAGCCTGCTCAGTACCAGCAGCGGGAGGGAGGCTGTGGACCTGCGGATGCAGGGATGGGAATTGCCACGGGAAGCCAGCCAGGGTTAGATACAGGTCAAACAGTTAAAAGAGATTGAGGAAAGAAGGAGTTTCTATGGCTCAGGAGAGGAGGATATGCTGGGGAAAGAGCAGTAAGTCAAAGCAGTTACTAAAAAAATCTGCTACAACAGGGATGGATACACAGGGCAAGCAAAGCCACCTTTCCATCTCCCGAACGGGTCAGAGGCACCACGTGCACATCCAATCAATAGAAACTTCCCCTCCAAAATCCCCGGTGGAAGAAGAAAGCATGAGAGAAATGTCTTTTTAAAAGGCTGGGACAGGAGGGGGCAGAGCTGTCCCGCCCGGGAAGCACCGGACGACCAGGGGGAAAGGCACTGGCTGTCACTGGCTCCGGGGGCTGTCACTGGTTCCAGGGGCTGTCACTGACCCCGGGTGCTGTCACTGGCTCCGGGGGCTGTCACTGGCCCCGGGGGCTGTCACCGGCTCCGGGGTGTGTCACTGACTCCGGGGGCTGTCACCAGCGCTTGTGGCTGTCACCAGCACCTGCGGCTGGCACCAGCCCCGGGGGCTGTCACCGGCTCCGGGGTGTGTCACTGACTCCGGGGGCTGTCACCAGCGCTTGTGGCTGTCACCAGCACCTGCGGCTGGCACCAGCTCCACAATACCCGGCCCCTCCCAGCGCTGCCCTGCCCCGTCTGACCCCACAGCAGCTCTCACTGAACCCCACACCAGCTCTCGCTGACCCCACAGCAGCCTCTCACTGACCCCACAGCATCCCTCAATGCCCCCACAGCATCCCTCACTGACCCCACAGCATCCCTCACTGACCCCACAGCATCCCTCACTGCCCCCACAGCATCCCCCACTGACCCCACAGCATCCCTCAATGACCCCACAGCATCCCCCGCTGACCCCACAGCATCCCCCGCTGACCCCACAGCCCCTGCTCGCTCCTGCAGAGCCGAGCCGAGCGTCCCCACGCCAGCAGCGCCTCGGAGCGCCCGCCAAGGCAGGGAACAGCCCAGATAAAGGCTCTGACGTGCTGAAAGCCTGAACTGACACCCCGCGAGGCCAGGAAAGGTGTTTCACGTGCTCAGGTGTTGCTCTGAAGGGATAAATAGAAGCACACGACCTCAAAGGGGCTGTTCTGACAGTTCTGCAGGTGCACAACACTGACCACAGCCAGGTTTTGTTCCTGGGGCTGGGATGGACTCTCTGTCACAGGGGAATTGCTGCTAACTCCTGCAGATAATTTTTTAATGAAATGCCTTAATGGAAATGTGATTTTTACAGAAGAAAAAAGTGATTTCTTATGGGAAGGTTTCATTGAAGTTTGTTTCTGAAAAAGGGAGAGTCTTTCTCAACATCCAAGAGAAACTCTTGCTCATAGCACTAGCTATGGAGCAGCATTCCAATCTTTCCCGACCACAGACACAGGACAATGAGTTCCCAACTGTGAGAAGGAAAACAAAATTCATTTATTATTTGCTTACCCAAGGGTTCTCCCTGCCTTAAGCCCCTGTGCTAATGGGTTTTTATATCCTCTTGTGATCAAGAACGTGAAATACTTCTCTACAAGGCAAACAAGCTTTAATTCCCAAAACGGTGACCCTGCTTAGAACTACCCAAAGAATTTTTAAAAAGGCCTAAAAATCAAAAAATCACAAAGCAGGACAACAAGCAAGGGAAAAATCTTCAGTGGGAAGATGTTTCTCCCTAGGGTGATGCCCTCTCCATCCTTGTGTGCCCCTGACAAGGGCACTTGTCCCTGCAGAACTTGTTCACTTCCATATCCCTGCACTTCTTCCTAAATGTGGAAACCACTTCTTGTCTACAGTCACTGGGAGTTTTCCTCAGCTTCAGCAGTGTAATTTTCCTCCTCCAAAAAGCCTCACACCAGCTACTGCATCATCTACTTCACGTTAATCATCACAGCTGGTAATGGACTGTAATACCATGCACACACTCATTTCTTTATATATCCATCAATAAAAATTGTATTTTTGCTCGTTTTATATATATGTACACACACAAACATATTATGATAAGTGATGCTGTTAAAAAAATCATGGAAATATCTGTTCACTGTTAAAAAATGTTTGTTGCTGAGCAGTGAATCAGGAGAAATTCAGTATAGATTTTATAGTACCTTTCCAAAAGTGAGCATGTTCACTGGGGATAAGTGCCACTCACTGCCCATTCACTCGTGCTTTAATGCAAATGCAAGCTGCATTCTGCACACAGGGCTGGATGGGTTTTACGAGGGCAAATGCCCACTTTAGGCAGACTTTAGTTCCCGTGCCAGTGACTCATGTGGCTGTGGTTTATTCCGTGCTGGAAGCGCTGCAATTAGCAGAGCGCTCCCTCCCTCCCGGCTCCCGGTGCTCCAGGGGAGGAAGCAGGATCCAAGGCCGGGCTGCTCCAGCTCTCCAGCTGCAGGATGAGCCTTCCAGGTCCTACAGCAGAACAATGCAGAGGCCCTGCCTGCATCTCGGCACGCTCGCAGTTATTCGCTCTGCACCGCAGGGAATCAGAATTCCACCACAATTCGTTTTCCACCGTCTCGATCCTCCTCTCCCTTGCTCCTGTCTGGCCAGAAAGTGGCACTCATGTGACCCATCCTCGCTACCTGTTTGCCAGGATATTGTCTCAGCAGGCATTCCCAATCCCTGAGTCAGGAGCTAAAATAATAAGGTTTAATGTTTTAAGCGAGTGGTTCAGGAGCATAAAGCAAACAGGCACTCGGGGAATTTTAACTGCTTTGTGCCTGAGCCTTTGGGGTTTATGGCCTCCAGTTTTTCCAGACAGCTGGGGGATCCAGATTGCTCTTAAGGCTTGGGGTGTTTTTATTAAGAAAAGGGAGGTTCTCACATATTCCTGTGATTCTGGAAATTAGGTCTATCAAAAGCATTCTTAATTACAGAGAGGCTGTAAAATTTAAAAAGCTGTAAAACTGCATTATCATAAACTGCTTAACAGAGTATTAAGGAATCTGGAAATGACTTCTTCATCCCAGTCCCTCCAAGTGGACATCCAAAGACCAAGTTCCTCCCATCCATAAACACAATTCTTCCAGCACAAATCCTAACCCAGATGCTTGTGCAACAGGTAGCTCTGCTGCCATTAAAGCTGCTTTTCCCAAATAACGTTTTTGGAAGAGACCACCAGGGTTTACTGAAATATGAGCTAAACCACAAGAAATTCCACCTCACCATGAGAAAGAACTTCTTTCCATGGAGGGTGCCCAAGCACTGGATCTCTGTCCAGAGGTGGGCATCCAGAGACATTCCAGACCCACCTGGATGCATTCCTCTGCCACCAATTCCAGGTAACCCTGCCTTGGTAGGGGGTTGGACTGGGAGATCTCCAGAGGTTCCTTCCAACCCCCTGGGATTCTGGGAATGCAGGAAGTTGAGCATCTCAGAAGCACCTTTAAATCCAGCACACATTTACCTGCATTCTCTGACGAACTTTTATAAATGGCACATTTCTTCTGCACTATCCAGCAGCTCAGTTTTCCCAGCCCTAATACTGCACTTTTAAGTTGTCTTCTTAAGAGCATAGCTAGACTTTGCTGGAAGACATTAAACCAGCACAAGACAGACTCGGGATGGAGAACAGCTCCCAAGGACTCACAATCTGCCTGGTTTACAGAAACATCCACTTGGATCCCAAATCACATCCCTAAAGGAACCAACACGCTCACCTGCACTCGGCCTGGCAGCTTGTGAGCAGCAGCAGCGAGAGAGAACCCAAGGAAGAGTTAACACACTCACACCAAAAGGGCAGGAATTTCTAAATTGACCCAAAGCCTTTCCTCATCCCTGGAATTGTCCAAGGCCAGGCTGGACAGGGCTTGGAGCAACCTGGGATGGTGGAAGGTCTCCCTGCCCGTGAGATGAGCTTTAAACCCTTCCAACCCAAACCATTCCAGGCTTCTCAGCAGAGTTTTGGAATAATTTAAATACCCAGTTCAGAAGGATTCCAATTCACAGTATTTCCTCTCAACATGGTGCATTGCATTAATGTCAATTTTGCCCGGTTGTTGTTCCTCTCTCCCTGAAATAAAGGGATGCTAAAACAAGTGAGGTAACACTTAAGAGGGATCGCACTTCCAGACCAACACTGACACAGGCAGGAAAAAATTCCTCATCCGAAGCCCTCCAGGACCCATCCATCCTCCTGAGGACACCACATCATACCATACATACGTCTGCATTGACGTACACTCTATATTATGTTGTTATCTATGTATTTTACGAGCTGTCCACAACGCCTTATGTAACGGATCCCTGTTTAATATGGAGCAGCGTGTCCACGGCCGCGGCAATCCCGGCCGTTCCCGGGGGGCCCAAAAACCACTCGGACACGGCCGGGGAACGCTCCCGAACCGCGGCGTCCGACCGCGGCACCGGGGGCTCCGTGCTGCCGCACAACCACCTTGCGAGGGATGCCGGGGAGGGATAATTCCCTAGGGAACCACAGCAGCCCGTCCCGGCATCTCTGGGGCAGCACAGGGTCACCCCCCGGCGCCTCGCCCGCAGCACGGACACCCAGCCCGCCCGCGCGGGTCTGCGCGCCCCCCGCCCCGCTCCCGCGGCACTCACCGCCTCCGAGTCTTCAAACCCATGCAGGTACAAGTTGTCGTACATGGAGAGCCGGTGCGGGGCCGGAGGGCCGGGGAGCGCGGCGGCGGAGCGCGGTGAGGCGGCGGGGCCGAGCTCCCTGAGCGCTGCGGCGGCGCCGCCTCCCAGCTGAGCCGCGCCGCCGCCGCCGCGCCATTGGCTAAGACGCGCCGGCGCCGCCACGCCATTGGCTGGGACGCGCCGCCCGCGAGCAGCGCTGCGCGCTGGCGCCGCCTCACGGCGCCTCACGGGCTGATGGCGGCGGCCGCTGTGCCCCCGGGGCGGCCAAGCCGTGCTTATTTGTAATAAAACTGGTTTGCGATAAAACAGTACCGTATAGTCTAGAGAAGACTGAGGTAGCATCTCATTAGTGCATATAAATATCTCCAAAATACGCCGGTGCCAGGCTGCGTTCAGTGGTGTCAGTGACAGGTTGAGGAGCAATGGCCATAAAATAAATCACAAGTTCCAGCTCGACATGAGGGAAAACATCTTTCCATGAGGGTGGCAGGGCACTGGAACCGCTGCCCAGGGAGGGCTGGAGGTCATTCCAAACTCCTGGACACATTCCTGTGTCACCTGCTCCGGGTGACCCTGGCTGGACTGGATGCTCTCCAGAGGTCCCTTCCAGCCCAATTCTCTGATTTACTTACAATAAAATACAGGAGTTAATAAAATAAAATAATAATAAATCCAGGAGTTAAACACACCCTTTCTTCTTCAAGACTCCAGAGAACAGCGGTGGTTTCCAAAAAAACCATCCCTCCACCCTCCAACAATATTTGGAAACCATTAATCCCCGAAGCCACTAAGACTAAACACTAAGAATTAACAGAAAACACAAATGCACAATGTCTGGAAACAAGAAAACCAAATCCTAACCACCAAGAATTAGAAGAACAGAAGTGTGAACCTGATTTACAACTAAATTAAGAAACAAAATCTCTAAACAGGTTCCTCCTGGAGCTCTACAAATTAAACTTCTGGTGTAACAGTACGTGATTAAAAAGTCAATAAATAATTAAACGCTAATGACAGAACTAATTTACAATTTACTTCCTACTCTTATTAAAACAATTACTTAAAGTCTCATCTTCAGCGCAATCTGAATCCCGCACTGCAGTTTCACAAACGCTTCCTATTTGTGTTTTCCATTTGCTTCATCCACTTTTCCTTCCAAAAGCTTCCATCAGTTCTGCAAAATTACCACTAATCCCATGGGAAGTGTCCAACAGACACCTGATGCAAAGCCAACGGTGTTATTCTTGTGAATATTCCCATATTTGCAATTTCTTACAAACTCAATGGAAGATTCCCCAAAGTTATGCTCAGTCTTATTCCAAATTTACTAATTCTGATGGATGGATGATCTCGGCTCCTAAGATGGACTTTAAAATGTTCATAAAACTCCCAGTCCAGAAGTTAATTTTTGCAGCCTGTTCTACAGACTTCTTGAAGACCTGTGATGTTCCAGATTCTCAACTACAAGAATCATTGGTCAGCTCAAATTTTTTAAAAAAGGCTGTGAAATCACAAGGTGAAGAGAAAGAAGTGAACTTCACATAGATTTGTAATAAAACAATTCAGAAACCAGGGGAATCACTATTTGATTTCCAGTCCTTACATTTCACAGTCTTTTTTAAAACACAGAGGTTATTAAAAATACATATTTAATGACTCAACTCAAAAGGCTCCTAAAAGATGCTATAAAAATACAATTCCCTGTAATACAGAAGAATTCTAAATCAAAGGCTGTTTTGAATATTATGAAGTAATCTATCCAAGAAACACACACCGAGGTGAGGGAGGAACACCCAGCTCTTTGAAGTTGACTGGGAAGTAATATAAATATAATAAATGTGCTGAGGGAACAGGGGGCTGAATGGAGCTGATATTATCCCCCAGGGAATTCCACTGTTCAGGCCACTGGCCAGCACTGCAGGAATGACCTGCTGAAAACACGCAATGGCTAAAGAGCTGAAATGACTTGGTAAAGTCTAAGCTTTAAAAAATGTCATTTTTTGAATGGCTTCAGTTGCTGCATTATTCCTTTTTTTAACAGCATTCATTGATGATGTTGATCGGAGCCCACAACTCCACGTTTCCAAGGGCACGGGAGATTTTGAAAGAGATGTAAACAAAGAACATGACTCATCCAAAACTTTTGATGCCCAACAAGTCACTGAGGGTATGACCCAGACCAAAATATCTTCAGGTTGGAGGTGGGGGAAAGAGAAGAGCTCAGAAGTCAGAATACTTTGAGTATCCACAGTCCTCCAAAAATATTTGGCTTCCTCCAAATACTCTGCTGCTATTAGAGATTATTCACGTCTTCTTTATTTTTAATTAGAGCACAAAGGAAATCTCTCTGAGACGTGTATCCATCTATCCCAAAATATCCATTATTTAGTCAGTCCTGAGCTACCCAAATGTGGGAACACTGGTTTTTGTTTTTTTTTTAATTTTCCGAGGGCGTGAATGCAGAACCAGAGAAAATTTTATTTCCAGCCCGATCTAATGATTCCTCAATCAAATGACAGCACTTGTGTGGTTCTTTCAGGAGCTGGAGCAATGAACTATTTGCATAAACACACTGAAGAGCTGCTGGAATAAATAAATAAATGCGCAGATCCAGATTGCCGAGGCGAGGGAACGCCTCGGCACCGCACTGCGCCAAGCCGGGATGGGAGTCAGCAACTTCTCCCTTCTCCCCACTCCAACTAATCCCACTTCCACCTGGGATCCCACCGAGGGGAGCAGCAGCACTGCCTCTCTTCCTGCAGCTCTGGGGGAGCCCACAGCAAAATTGATTTAAGGAATATTAAACCTGAAGCAGCAAAACTCCAAGGCAGCCAAGTTCTTGACGGCCTCTCCCTGCTCTCACGTGGTCCTGGATTCCTGACATTACTCAGGGATAATGAGGCAAAGCCCCCCCAGAAGGCAAGGGCACATTAGCAAGGAGCATTAGTGGTTGCATTAAGAGCAGGCTTGGATGTGGATCCTCTCCTTCCAGCACACAGAGGGCTCCAAAACCCGCAGTCTCCATCAGCATCCTCCCCATGAAACACAAACTTTGGGTTTCTTCTTGCCCCGCCGGGATTCCGGGGCCTGCTGAGGAAAATTGCTCTCCCCTATGGAAAGCTGCTCTTGTTGCCATCAGCAGAAGAGCCCAGGGATGGATTTCGGTGATAGAAAAGGAAAGGACCATCAGCAGTCTCCAGCAATCCACCTTGCCTCCATCCGTGGGAAGGAGGCCAGTTCCTCACTCTCCTAAATTACTTGGCACGGCCCCACTCCTTGCCCCTTCTCCCTCTAAAGCAATTTCCCTGCCTCTCTCCCTCCTCCTCTGTTTTATAATAGAGATTAGATAAGAACCTGGTGCAGTGACAGCAGCTTCTGCCCCGGGTGGAGGCACAGCCAGGAGAACCTCCTGAGATCCCCTCTAACCTTGTTTTCCAGCAGAATGGGATTTGTGGGACTTGGAAGTCCTTGAAGCCACCAGAGGAATAGGGATTTCTTTCTTTCTCTTCCAAAAGATTGTGCTGTTTGGGATATATCCTGGCACAGAGGATTCGGTGAATTTTAGGGTTTTATTCAAACAGACTGGGTGGACGGCGTGCTTTAATCCTCGGAATTTCAAGTAATAAATTAGTCTGGTCTAATTTGACAGTTCTTCTGGAGGAAGCGAGGTGCCACCTATCCTAAAACACATTTATCTGACACTGTTATGTAAAGGCTGCTATAATTAAAGAGTGTGAAGACTCGGTTGTCACTTCCTCTTGGTTGGAAGCACCTCCAGTGAGAGGTAACTGGGCTACATTTGTAGGTACCCTCTATATTTAACGAGCTGTGAAATGCCTTTCCACGGGCACTGTGGAGACCTGCAGGAAGACAAGGCCTTCCAGAGGGTTTTTCACAGGCAAGAGTGGATGATCCCAGCTCCTGAGGCAGGCAGGGTGTGCTCCAAGGGTTCAACAGCTCCAGGCAGCTCCAACTGAGGCTTCCACTGGCACACGGGATTGAGCAGAACAAATCCCAAATGGCCTCGAGAACAGCCCCGTGTGAGCACAGGGATCCCTCTGGAAGATGGGGAGCTTGGAGTGAAGGGTCTGCAGGATCCATGGGCAGTCGTGGGGATGTCCATGGACACTGACCCCCCCCAGCAGCTCCCAGTGTCCACCAGGCTGCTGAGAGGGTCCAAACCATCGAGTCACCCCCCAGGCAGCACCCCAAAAAAAAGCCAGAGTGGATCTGTGGCTGGAATTGTGTCAGATTTCCTTGCTGGAAGGGAGATGGGTGGGTTCAGTTTTTAGGGAAGATCCATGTTTTTATCTGCCCTGCCAAAAACCATCTGGACCAAAGGATTAAGCACTTGTTTTATTCCTTATTTTAAGCTCCTCTGCTTTCCTTATGAATGCTAATCAATCTCCTGAGCTGCCATAAGTGCTGATGCCGAGTTTCTGTGCCACACTTCAGCCTGCAACTGTTGGGATGATGGGAAACGCTCTTCAAAAGCCAACTACAAACTTTCTGGGAAGCTGCTGCTGTTTTACCCAAGCAGGGAAAGTGCATCCTGGAAACCCCATCAACACTGGAGCACAGCCACCAGTCATCCCCCTGGGACTGGGAACAGCAAAGCTGCAGGGAGAAGGGGCACTGGAAGTGTGCTGGGAATGCCAGGACATCCCATGACTGAAGATCCAACCTCTGCAGAGCAAGGAACTGAAAGATTTTCCAGCCTCAGAACAGACAAACAGCCCAGAAAGCTCCTGGTCGGTGTTAATTTCCCAGATGCATTTAAATATTTGCAGTTTTATCAGTGCACACTCATGAAAAGGTTGCTTGAAATGTATTTTTGATAAATTACGATTATCATGTAATAGTTCTTTGGAGAAAACAAAGCCTTGAGTGAGCAAAAAGACAACCCTGCAAGCTAAAATGAAATTCCAGTTTCTGTAAAACACAGGATCTCATGGAGATTTTTTTTTCTTTAGCTAAACTGGTAAAACTACAAGTTTTATTTTGTTTTTTGGCTGAAGGAGTAGGGCAAAGGGTGTCTTTAAAAGAGTCAGACACAGAGCTTTTAAATCCCAGTGCTAAGAAGAATTT